GGCGGGGCCTTGGCGCCCATTCTCGAAGTCACCATTGGAGTCATTATGTAGACGGAGGTTAGATAATGTATTTTTTTTTAAAAAAAGCTTTTGGCCCGTTTCTCTTTCGTCAGGCTGGGTTTCTGCCTCTTTAAAATGTTATTTTTGAAAGTGGTCACTTGATAAATTTAGAGCCCTCAAATAGAATGTATATTTTTTTAAGATTTTTAAATTGATTTTTAGAGAGAGGAAGAGAGAGTGAGACATCGATGTGAGCCTCCTGCACGCGCCCCGACCAGGGAGCCCGCAGCCTGGGCGCGGCCCTGACCGGGGAGGGATGGGTGCGTGGGACAGGACGCCGCCCAGCCAGCAGCCACACTGGCCGGGGCAGAGTGGCCTTTTAATGGTCTGCCTGGAGCGAATGCACATCATTTCTGTGATCACATGCCCTGCAGGCCCCGCACCCAGGCTTGAACTTATAATCGTGAAATATCCCAGAGAAACTGAAGGCCGTCGTGGGAGGAGCCGGGAAGGGCTGACTCGGGCAGCTTCCCGCGGACCCCTGAGCACCTAGAAACAGACGGGGGGGGGGCGGGGGGGGGCGAGGTGCCCAGACATCAGGCAGGGTCAGGCTTAGCCACTGTCCGGTGGGGCGGTAAGTCCCAGCTCCCCCACTTGGGGCCGTTTGTCCCGAGAGCAGGGTCTGGGGAACAGCGGAGCTGCTCGTTTTACAGCTGTTTTTGCGCTGGGTCCCTGGAGGGTCTTCTTTTCTTTTCATTTCCAGCCTCTCTTTTTTAAAAATATATTTTTATTGATTTCAGAGAGAAGGAGAGAGATAGAAACATCAATGATGAGAGAGAATCATTGATCGGCTGCCTCCCGCACGCCCCACTCTGGGGATTGGCCCACACCCTGAGCCTGTGCCCTGACCGGGAATGGACCGTGACCTCCTGGTGCATGGCCGCGGCCCTGGAAGAGTCTTGACGGCTGTGCACGGTGCGTTCCGGGACAGCAGGTGTGGGGACCCCAGGCCGGAGCTCTGGGCCTCTTCTTCCCGGTCACCGGTTTTCTACAGTGTGGGCGGCTCTCCGTCCTCCCGAGCCACCACACCCCTGACGGTCAGTGCGCATTCGCACTGACGGCCAGGGGCTGAGTCAGGTGCCCCAGAGGGAGCCGGGAGCAGGCGCTCCGGGGTCCCCCTCCCCCCTCTCCCCGGGGGGCTGTGGCCCTCACTCTGTGCTCTGCTGCGGGGAACTCGGCCGCAGAGCCCTTGGTGGTGGGGCCCCTCACACACAGGTTTGTGGTTTCCTCCTGTTCGTTTAAGAAGCAAACGGGCTGAACTTCTTTATGCTCAAAAGTTGCTGAAGTCGGGCTCCACGTGGCATTTGCATAGTCTGTGCCTCGCTGGCTGTTTGTTTTCTTCCCGTGAGTCAGCACAACCGAGTGTCCCTGAGTCAGCAGAGAACAAGGTTTCCCAGGGCTCTGCCGGCGCCGGCTTTGGGGTACGGTCACCATGGAAACGTGGGGGGGCCCTGCTGACTGTGCCCCCTCCCTCCGAACAGAGCAGCACTTCCTGACGCAGCTGCAGGAGCTGGGCATCCTGTCCCTGACCCCCGCCCGCATGGTCTTCGGGGAGCGGATCGCTTCCCACGACGACAGGTAGGAGGCGCCCTGCTTGCTGGGGGCGCCTGGGGGAGGGCGGGCCTGCTCCCAGGGACACTTCTCCGCCCTGGGCTCTCATTCTCTGTTGTTGTTACAGTTTTTCCATTGATTTTGAGAGGGAGGAGGGGAGAGGGGGAAATATGGATGCGAGAGAGACGCATCCATTGGCTGCCTCCGGTCGGCTGCCTCCCGAGCGTGCCCGCGGGGAAGCAGCGTGGCACCCAGGTCTTTTTAAACAAAAGCCGGCGGATCCGGAAGGAAAGCCGCGTTGGATGGGGCGCTGGTGCTGGTGCTGGTGCTGGTGCTGCTGAAAGCGCGTGTTCTTGTCTCACGCTGTCTCCTGGCTGTTGGGGCCGTGACCTGCACCGCGATGCCGGAGCCGGTGTCTGTGTGGTTACCTGCCTGGGGGGTAACCCACCATCCTCCCCACCTCCCGTAAGAGCGGGACCTGAGCATCTCCAGCAACGGCACAGCCTGCCCAGCGCCCAGCGCCCCACTTCCCGTCGCCTGTCTCTCCACAGCTGGGGGTGGAGTGAGTCTGTACTTGGGCGAGGCGGCACGGCAGTTCTGCTGTTTTCTTTTTTTTAAGCTTTTTTTTTAACCATTTGTACTTCGTAAGAGTCTATAGATGCAAGTGACGGACCTTTTTAAATTAAATTCAAAATATCGTGGCAGTTAACTGGTTAAAATTGACCTTGTACAGAGAGGAAGGGAGAGGGAGAGAGAGGGGGAAACATCAATGATGAGAGAGTCATGGACCGGCTGCCTCCTGCACGCCCCCCACTGGGGATCCAGCCCACAACCCCGGCCTGTGCCCCGACTGGGAATTGAACCAGCAACCCTTTTGGTGCCCGGGATGGCGCCCAGCCAACTGGCCACAGGCCAGGGCTGAGCATCGCTCCTCAAGTCAGAGCAGAACATGACCCTGTGGGGACAACGATGGCAAGGCTGCCTGTGCCAACCGCTGGTCTTGGCACCAGAGCTCCCGGTGCACAGCCGAGAACCGCAGGGATCCACGGGTGGCTCAGCCCGGCCTGGGCGCCCCACCTCGGCTCCCTGCCGTCCCCGCTGACCGGGCGGTTCTCTACAGCACGTGTGAATGTGGGTGTGAATGTGGGTGTGAATGTGGCTGAGACCATTTTCAAAAAGAGAGTCAGGTTGTGTGAGAACCAGGCCCCTTTCCAATCTACTAGGAACCTCAGAGGTGCTCAGCGTCTCTTGGGTCCTCAGCTGGCAGGGGCGAGGCCTCTCTGTCCCCAGCCTCAGCCGCGTCCTGGGGTTTCCTATGAAGAGGGAGGAAGCCCTGTGTCTGACTGCACAGCCCGGGGGCCGGGGACCGCCTGCCCTCTTACCCTCTGTCCTGTTACCACAGGTTTCTGCTACACTTAGCGGACAAAACTGGTGGCATCATTGTAACAAATGACAACTTCAGAGAATTTGTGACCGAGTCGGTGTCCTGGAGAGAAATTATCACCAAAAGGTAACGTCCCTCCCTTGTCCTTCCTCAGCCACATGTGCTGTGGTTCGTCCTTCCGTTCTGTTTGCTGTTTGTTTTGTGCTCACCTTGCCGTGCAGAGAGCAAGACAGGGAGCCAAGTCCTAGGACTGTGTGCCCAGACCGTGGGGTGGGGCCCCTCCAGGTCAGGGGCCCCCGGTGAAGGGGGGCTGGGTGCCCACAGGCACCGCTCAGGCCGAGCTCCCTGCCGGGCAAGGGCACATCTGGGCGCCGCTACTGTTAGCTGTGGGACGCGGCAGAGTGCCTCCTCCTGGCCTCGCCCGATGCCCAGGGGGCTTCTGCAGGTCACCGGCCTCACACGTTAACCATGAAACATAAACGTTGCTGGTAAATTGGGTTCCCGAATCCAATTCCAATGCAGGGAGAGGAGGTGTGGTTCCTCCCACATCAACAAACAATTCTCAGCCACCATCATGGTGTCTAGGAATTCAACTCAATTCTTTCTTTTTTACAAATATACTAGGGGCCCAGTGCACGAATTCGTGCACCTTGAAAGGAACTGTGGGCTGCAGTGGGCACAGGGGCGGGTCTCAGCCCCATCCTCTGTGCCCTCGCCCGGCCCCGCTCCCCTCCTCCAGCCACGGCTCGAGGTCCTCTGTCTGCCGGCAGCCCCACTCCCACTGCTGCTCCCATGCACTGACAGCACCACCCACGCTTGTACCCGCTGACGGCGCGGAGCGATTGGGGCCGGCGCCAGCAGCGGGTGCGAGCAGGGTCGGCGCCAGCAGCGGGTGCGTGCAGCGGCTGCTGCCCCGATCACCCTCAGGAGCAGGGGGAGATGGAGAAGCCCTCAGGGGTAATCAAGGCCAGAAGCCTCCGTGCGCACCGGCTGACGGCGCTGAGCAATAGGGACCGGCGCTGGGCACTGGCAGCGGGTGCGAGCGGTGGCTCTGGCGCCGGCTGCAGGTGCGAGCACCAGGTGGGACTGCAGCTTGCGGGAGCAAAGAGTTTTCAGTAACCACCAGAGGCTTGCCCCAATGACAGCGACCGGCGCCCTGCCTTGGTCTGGCGCCCCTGCTCACCTGCTCCACCATCCCACTGCGACCAACGCCCGCCCGCCATGGTCTGCACTCGCCCCCTGGTGGTCAGTGCACGTCAGTTCAGTTGTTTCGCTGTTCGGTCTATTTGCATATTAGCCTTTTATCATATAGGAATTTTATTGACTTCAGAGAGGAAGGGAGAGGACAAGAGCTAGAAACTTCAGTGATGAGAGAGAATCATTGCTCAGCTGCCTCCTGCACGTCCCACACTGGGGATCAAGCCCACAACCCGGGCATGTGCTCAGGAATCGAATCGTGACCTCCTGGGTCATAGGTCGATGCTCAACCACTGAGCCACGCCGGCCGGGCAGAATTCAACTCAGTTTTGATGCTGTCTACCTGGAGGTGGCTCGGGTCCCAGGTTCAGGGTTCAGTCCTACCAGATTGGGGTCCCCCAAACACACACACGCAGACACCCAGGACAGAGCGCCATCCGACAGCTACTTGACCAGTTACCTAAAGGAGCGGACTGGTACCCACACAGCTGCCCACACTGCACCACTCGGTGGCGCCTCGGTGGGCTCCCAGCTCCCAGGGCGGATGTGTGTCCGTTGCTGAGCCATTAGGGGTCGTAGGAAATTGGCATGTCGCTGCCGGGGCCCAGGTGAGAGCGGGTGACTCCGTGCCTGTGGCCCGTGTGTTGTTAAAAAGCTGTTGCCAAAACCGGTTTGGCTCAGTGGATAGAGCATCGGCCTGTGGACTGAAGGGTCCCAGGTTCGATTCCGGTCAAGGGCATGTACCTGGGTTGCGGGCACATCTCCAGTAGGGGGTGTGCAGGAGGCAGCTGATCGATGTTTCTCTCTCATCGATGTTTCTAACTCTCTATCTCTCTCCCTTCCTCTCTGTAAAAAATCAATAAAATATATTTAAAAAAAAAAAAAAAAAAAAAGCTGTTGAGAGCCGAACTGGGAGCTGGCCTTTGACCTCTGGGCACAGTTCACGAGCCACTGATCTCCTGGGGCTAGTCCCTGCTGGACGCTGGCCCTGGGCCCGCATCGGCGTTTCCCGGACGCTGTCCATGTCCACACGCAGCCTGAAGGCACCCAGACGTGTGCACGCCGGCCGATCGCTCTCAGAGCCCACCCGGGTCCAACGTCAAAAACGCAAAACAAGGCCCGGACCTGGTCCAACAACTGGCACTTTTGTTTCCTCAAAAGTTGATAAATTAAACACAACTAACCTCTGCTTTCACTTCTTCAAGTACCATGTCTTTCTTTTTAAAAAAAATATATTTGTATTGATTTCAGAGAGAAAGGGAGAGGGAGAGGGAGATAGAAGCATCAATGATGAGAGAGAATCATTGATCGGCCGCCTCCTACACGCCCCCCACTGGGGATCGTGCCCGCAACCCAGGCATGTGCGCTTGACCAGAATCGAACCTGGGCCCCTTCAGTCCCCAGGTCGATGCTCTATCCACTGAGCCACACCAGCCAGGGCTCACGGCTTCCTTTTTTAAAGGTGTCCTCAGCGGTTTGCCAGTGGACAACAGCTTTCACAGCTGAAATCTCGGGAAGAAAGGGTTTATTAGGCCATAAGCCCCCCAGAGAGGGCCAGGTCCTGGGCGAGGAGGCTGAGCCGCCGGCCGCAGGGCCAGAGGGAGAAGAGCGTGCAGCCCTGGGCTCCCAGGCGCTTCTGTGCGTCATGTTTGGGGAGAGAGCCCTGCGTGGTGTGGAGAGCGCGCACTGGGTGAGGGCAGGGCGGGGCCACCGGGCAGGTGCACATGGGAAGAGCTGTTTCCTGCTCCTTGGCCGTGGGAGGCAGCCTGGGAAGCCCCGCAGGCGAGCAGCCCCGAGCACATCCAGGAACATGTTAGCCCCCGCAGCCCTCGCCCGCAGCTCCTGTCTCCACTCTGGGCTGTGGTTTGATTGAGGACACCCCGGGGTCTCCCACATCCATTCGAATGTAAACCTTCGTCGGGCACCCGCCTAGAGTCTGGGGTCTGGCCTTGGGAGGGATGTTGACAGTGAACCACGCTGGGCGCAGCTGCCCCCGGGCTCAGACAGACACCGGGGTCTCGGGAAGAAGGGAGAGCTGCTGAGAGCTGCTGGCTCGGCTCCACTGGGATCCGGGGGAGACGCTAGCGTGTGGGGCGGGGTGCCTCGGCCTTCGGGCCTTGCGCGGCGCTAGGACTTTGGGGGCCTTTGCCGCGGCCCCAGCGCGCTCCACGCCCTCCACGCCCCCTCGCCCTCTGTTGCAGGCTGCTCCAGTACACCTTCGTGGGGGACATATTCATGGTTCCCGACGACCCTCTGGGAAGGAGTGGACCCCGATTGGAAGAGTTTCTTCGGAAGGAAGTCTTCCTTAGGTATTTCCTCTCCGGATGGCCGCGTGCTTTCCCGTGTCTTTCCGGGCTTTGTGCAGGTTTAGAGCAAGCATGTCCCGGGAAGCAAACAGGGCTCCTGATTTCATTTCAATGGTCTCAGATTGAGTGCGGATCTTGTCTGTGTGGAAACTAATCAAGCCGGTGCCCCCGAAAGAGAAAACCTTCATTTGTGGTCCTTTTGGTTTGGGGGTTTTTTGGCTAGTCCCCACCTGAAGGTATTTTTCCATTAATTTTTAGAGAGAGTGGAAGGGAGGGGGAGAGACAGAGAGAGAAACATCCGTGTGAGAGAGACACATCGATTGGTTGCCCCCCACACGAGCCCCAACCGGGGACCGGGGATCGAGCCTGCAGCCCAGGTCCAAGCCCTTGACCAGAATTGAACCCGGGACCCTTCAGTCCTCGGACTGGTGCTCTGCCCACTGAGCTACACCAGCTCCTCGTGGAGAGCGGGGAGCCAGGCGCTTCCTGGGGGTCTGAAAGGACAAAGCAGGCACTGGGGGCGCCACACACTGGCGAGTTGCCGTTCAGGTTGGCTTTTGTTTTTTCCGTCGTTAACCACAGTATTCTGTGTGCCTGACGCAGAGCCTCTAACCCAGCGGTTCTCAACCTGTGGGTCGCGACCCCTTTGGCGGTCGAACGACCCTTTCACAGGGGTCGCCTAAGACCATCCTGCATATCAGATATTTACATGACGATTCATCACAGTAGCAACATGACAGTTATGAAGTAGCAACGAAAATAATTGTATGGTTGGGTCACAACATGAGGAACTGTATTTAAAGGGCCAGAAGGTTGAGAACCACTGACCCAGCAGCGGACCTTTTCTCTTTAAAACTAAAACAGGCTGCACTTGTGTGTGTTTCCAGCAGGAAGGCGTTCAGGGGTTCGTTTCCATTTGCAAGGAGACCCTGGGGGTTCCCGGCTTGGCTGTGGGGGTGACTCGTGCAGCGGGGTCTCCTGCAGGGCCAGGTGGCCCCCTCCCTGGTCTTGGGCATCTTTTCTCCTTTGAGCCCTTGGTGTTCAGGACACGAACGCGGGCTGAGCACCCACAGGCCCTGCTTCCCCGCCCGCACCCACCCTGCTCTACACCACACCTCTCCTACCTCTCACTTCCTCCCCGGCGTCCCAACTTGAACCCGAGGCCCCAGTGCAGGCCTCACTGGCCTCACGGTCCGCGGTCCAGCTGCCCGAGGAATGTCCTCCGGCTCCTCCCACAGCCAGCGCCGCCCGCAGCAGGCTCAGCCGGTTGATAAGGAAGTTAAACACTCACCTCTGTGCACACAGTTGTGGGTGCCAGTGCCTCACCCAGACGTCGGGGAGAGGGGGGCGCACATGGGTCGGTGAGGGCTGCCCGTCCACTCACGGGGGTCCCTTTTCTGAGGCCTGTCAGCCAGGGCCCCCCCATACAGAATCAGAGTCTCACCCTCCGTCCTCAGGCCTGCTGGACGCGCCCAGGCGGTGCCGAGCCAGACCGAGGGGCGGGGTCAGTCCTCCCAGAGCCGACCTGCAGGTGGAGTGGCTCTTTTTTAAAAACGCACACACACATTTTGTTATTGAATTCAGAGAGGAAGGGAGGGAAGGACAGAGATAGGCACATCAGTGATGAGAGAGAAGCATGGATCGGCTGCCTCCTGCTCGCCCCACACTGGGGATCGAGCCACTGAGTTACACTGTCCGGGCTGGAGTGGCTCCTGGAGCGCTGTCATCCTGTCCCCCACTAAGTCTGGAGGTGGCATCGGACATCCCCGCCCGGCCGCAGTCCCGCCGTCAGCC